AATCCTTCTGCTGGCATTGTTGACAGGTGAAACACGCATTCATGATTTTGCATGATAAGGATATTTATGCATGAAATTTTGTGGTTATTGGTTTACTGAAATGCTCGGACAGTATGGCATTTTGAATTGTGTTTGCAGGAAATATAAATTAATGCGTGATCTAAGCAGTGACATTGCCATCACTGGAACAGACTGTCCATTGCCAAAAATAATTTATATTTTTATTTATTTTGCATGTCGAGTAGTTTATTTTGGCTAATATTGAAATTGGTTTATTTATATATAATTATAATTCTTGTTTTGGCTTTGAAATATATAATGTTTCATTTGCTCAGAGTACCACTTTATTTATTTTGTTTGCAGAAGTGAAAAGGAGAGACCCCAGCCTGCCATATTGATTCAAGATTCTAAAGATTGTGGGATTCTTAATTGCAGACCGCCCTTCCTGCAACGCTTTGCTGGAATAAAGGTATCATAACAGACTTCAGATTGGTAACATCGTATAATTACAGCGTAATCACAGTTCAAACCTGATGTTTAATGTATCTTCAACATCCACCTGATGATGGCAAAATGCCAACACATGTAGGGCATATTTATTGCCACATGTGATGTAGATATTAGCAGATTTAATGCATTTGTTGTATTTATGATATACCATTTGGTAATTGTCACAGATGTTTATATAACGGAAAGTATGTTTCTGCTGCAGGTTTTTGTACTCCTGCTCTCCTTTTTGGTGACTCTTCAGCAAGCCCTAAGTTCCGGATACATCAATTCTGTCATAACAACTATTGAGAAGAGATTTGAAATCCCATCCAGTCTTTCTGGCCTCATTGCATCTTCGTATGAGATTGGGAATGTAATAACTGTCATCTTTGTTAGCTATCTTGGCAGTAGGAGGCACATTCCTGTATGGATTGCTGTTGGTAAGTTCTGCATTATCCTGTAGAGGAAGCTTTTGCCTTCTGCAGTGGTTATGATCCTGAGAAACGCAGCGAGTCGTCAAAACTGTGATTGGCCGTATGCGAAATTGGTTATTAGGTGAACTGCAGCTGCTGTTAACACTCATCAAAGATACAGATAATTAAAAATTTGGGAAACCTTGAGTTTGGTTTATTGTTGTTTAATAGACATGTTGTAGGACTCCATGGAAAGGAGCAACACAAAAGAATTTGACATTTAATTGTGTCATAAGTGGGATTTTAAAACTGCAAAGCATGGGATAGTTTAAGACGTATTGTGCGTTGGCTACACAGCCACTGTGATCAGGTTAATTAATTAACAAGTGGCTGAGTCAATCAGTCATCCTACTCTGAGGATTGGTACCATTATATTCATGGCAATTATTTTGTTAGGAAAATCAAATAGAAACCCAACTGTTTTAATTTTGCATCTTACTTTGAGTCAAAGACGTATTCTTGTGTTTTCAGGTTCAGTTGTAATGGGCATTGGTTCCATGGTGTTCACAGTACCACATTTCATTGCTGAACCACATCTAGCATCCACTCTTGCCAACTCAAGCTCTGACAATATTTGTCGAGGCGTATCCATTAGAGAACAAGACATGGGGTTAGGAAGGTTGTCATCAGGTAAGTTAACATTTTCACTGCTTACATGTCATATGGGGTCTGCAGTGGCCGAGCGGTTTCAGGCGTGGGCCTTGTGCCGCTTGGTCACTGGGACCATGGGTTCGAATCCCACTCAAGCCATGGATGTTTGTCCGCGTTGTCCTGAGTACAGGTAGAGGCCTTGCGACGGGCCGATCCCTCGTCCAAGGAGTCCTACCGAGTGTCTATAGATCGAACCAACGAAGAAGTTGGGACCCGCAGTGCTCAGGCACTTGAAGAACGGGGTATCCCCAGTACATGTCATATGTTGTGGCCTGTTCAGTGTTAAGAAGAGACTAATTTGAATATAACATTAGTGTTACATCATATACTGCAAAATAATGACTGCAAGTATGTGTGAAGTTATACACTTTACAAAAGAAGAATTTGTCATTCTCTGTCAAAGACACACTTCACTTCACTTCACTTGAATAGTGCATAAAAACTAAGATTGTTTATATGCAGTCCTGCGCAACAAACATTATGCATTTGCTTCAGAATATGTCTTTATTTCATTCTGTAGCATGTTTGTATTTTCCCCGATACATTTTATTTTTGTAGGTCTTTCATCACCGCCTCTTGCACCTCACAACAACCTAAGAGGGGACAACTGCATTCAGGGCTCTCCCTCCACAGCAGGACCTGTCATGTTGTTCCTGTTAGCTCAGCTCCTGCTCGGCTGCGGAGGCTCGCCTCTTTTCACTCTTGGCACAACATACATAGATGATCATGTCCGCCCAGACAGTGCTTCACTATACATAGGTTAGAATGACTTGCCTATTAGTCTAAAGGCATTTTACAAAATTCAATCAAACTGATGCATGTTCTTGGACATTTACCTTTGCCTTTTAGTTTAGAAAACACATGTTTTGTTTTGGGGGGGGTTAGACTGGGATTAACTTTATCCAGTAGACCCAACTGATTAGGTTATATAATTTTGTCTGGTGATAGAAGCAGTTTTTGTTGAAATGTTGTGTTTTTTTTAAACTAGTACGTGAATGAAGATTAGTGAAAGCATCCATCTTTGTTCATATTTTTTTAATAGTTTTACAGAAATAATAAAATTATATTTATCATGACAGTGTTATGAATACAATACAGTTTGCTTCGACTAATAAGGAAAGTATTGCAGTTGCAAACAGATGAAACATCACGTGTTTCCTGGTGTTACTGCCGTGACACCTTGTGATCTTTTTAAACAGCGTCCCAGCAGTTAAACAGCAGTAGACGTAGATCATTTCATGCGCTGGTGTGATCGCTTAAAAATGAGACCAGAGACAGAGAATGGAGGACATTAGGGGGACAGAAGAATTTCGTACATGAAAAGATGTTATCGGAGTAAGACAGTGCTGTGTCATGAATTTTTTCATTGCTGAGTTTGTTTTCAGTTTTGAAATTTTACAGTTTTTTGTAGTGTTCAAGCAGAATCCTCTAGCCATCGTACATGGTGTTTGAATGTGATACATCTTACAGCTGATTTGTGTTCTGGTTTCAGGTTGTATGTACAGTATGGCAGCATTTGGACCAGTTCTTGGATTTCTTCTGGGTGCATATCTGTTGTCATTCCATATGGACTCTTTCTCCAGTTCTATTGTCACAATTGGTAAGGTTCATAGGCCTCTGTTATCACAATTAGCGAAGTCTTAAATGTTGAGTAGAACAACTAAATCCTGAAACAGATCTGTTCTTCTTACTAAGACATTTCCGCTTTATGTGGTTCATATGAAAACCAAACATTTTCATCTCTCACTGTCCTACACTTCTCAATGTTCAAACACCTTCAAGTTAGCTGGAAAGGTCTGTTCTGATAAAATGCTGAAATTATGACTGATGTGGAGCTGATAGTGTATTTTTACCTGCTTCCAGGAACTAGTCAAGAAACTAAAAGTCCTGTAGTATTACATGGTTATATAGCTGTATTAAAGAGAATTGATTTTAGCCGTGGGTTGTTGAGTGCTTCAGTTTTGTTGGGAAAATTATTAAATGATATTTTTATGGATATAGAAGTCTCTATAGCTGATGCAGAATAAAACTCTTGAGAAAGATTATTTCCATTGTCAGGTAACAGTTCAGGCAACATGCAAAATCCCTCACTCAAATATTTATATTTGAAAGTGTATTAAAAATTATGTTCCATTTTTTAGACAAGAAGGAAAGGTTTTGGCGTCTAGTGGTCCAGCGAATTTCCAGATGAGTTTGAATATGTGAAAATTTGTAGAATTATTACTTTACCAGATGTTATGAATGATTGCATAATTGTTTAGAACTTTTGAATGGAAATGTATGCAAGGATCAACAACTCTAAAACCCATTGTAAGAGTCAGATCATGCTTTTGTTTCGCAGCTTGGGGGTAATTGCTCCCCACCTTCCTCCATTAAGGAAGTGTCAGTATTCCTAGGGTAAAGTGAGTTGTCAGATTTCGCTCACATTGGATTGTTTTACACCCTATTCCATATCAATTACTCGATCATGTTCCATTTGACAACAACATACTGCAAGGTGCCACCGTGTAGAAAAAAGAATGAGTGGGGGGGTTGTTTAACAGAAAAGGAACAGATTATTCCCAAAATTAGGGGTGAATCTGTATTGGATGTAGCGAGCCTGACGCCATTGAACGTAGTCCATTGCCATGCTCACAAGAGTCTGCCACTGCAGCTTATCTTCAGTCAGATGAATCCAGTCCATGCCCTGTTTCTTCAAGGTCTATTTTGATGTTGTCCTCCTTTCTAGGCCTACGTCTCTGAAGTGATCTCTTCTATTCAGGTTTTCTGCTGTGTACATGGACACAACTATCATAACGTAATCTAAAATACAGTTTTTATATCTTATATTTCTGAAACTGTAGTATTACAGAATCTGAAAATTGTGTATAATGAACACAGAAAAATACGAACCCAAATTTATGACCTTGAACCCATCCGTATGTGTTTTGTATCGTTCACTGAGGTGAACTCTAGAAACTGTGATGGTAAATAACTGATGGGTGTGTTATAACTTCATTGCTTAATTTAATTAACGGTAATATAAAAGCGATTTCCATGTTTTCAATTGTGTCTGTCTTTTAGATCCCGGTGACAGAAGGTGGGTTGGCATGTGGTGGGGAGGCTTTCTGCTCTGCGGACTCCTTCTCATACTGGTTGCCATCCCCTTTTATGCCTTCCCTAAGACATTACAGGTAAGAATGAGATATGAAATTCTTACAGCAGTGATGATGTTCCAGGATCTAATGCTGTGTGGCCTTATAGGTGGATACCACTCTTTTCAAGAAACATACTGTCCCACCCCATACTTTAACCCTGAAGATGAAGACAGTATTTTTCTCTGAAATATTTGCGTCTACTGTTGGGTCTGTATGTTGTGACAATCCAGAAGAACACCACCATCATTACAGATAAAATATTATTGCAATCATACTTTTTTTAATTATTTTAAACAGATCTCCTGATGTTAAGGCTGTAAGATAGGTCAATATTGTCAGGGTTTATAGAGCATGTCCTACTGTGCGCAAGAGTTAATGCAGAATTATAAATAGTGCTGATTTTTAATTAGTATTACTGGGTTTCTGTATGGTGTCCATTGTCTAGTATTCCAAACAGAACAATGTTTTAGAAAGTAGACCTGCTTTTGTTCTCTGATAAAATGGTGGTTCTTCTTTATTACGTCCCGCGCCGTAGCTGCACGGTCTGAGGCATCATGCTTCGGACCGGTCATACGGAATGCGCGTTGGTTTGAGTCCCAGAGAAAGAAATTTCTCATGAGATTTTCGACCGGTGTATGGGACCGGTGCCAACCCAGCATCGTGAGGAAATTGGGGAGCTACAATGAGTAGCGTAATCCGGTCAGGAAAGCTAGCAATGGCTGGGGGTTCATCGTGCTGACCACACGTCATCCTATATCTGGTTGGATGATCGTCCACCTCTGCTTAGGCATGTGAACGCGAGGCCTGCAGTCAAGCTAGTCGGCTCTGGCTCTCTGGAGCTGTTATGCCACGGATTTAATTTTCTTCTTCTTTATTACAGAGAGAGAAGGAGAAAATTCGACTGATGGAGAAGTCTCGTCCTGACCAGGTTCGTCCTACAAAGTCAACAGACATTGCTGCAGGACAAGGCCAGACCAATGATTCTGGTTATGGTAAAGATATTAAAGGTGAGTACCAGTACTGACAGTTGTTCATGAAGAAACAAATTTTAGCATGCGCGTTCTGAGAATGCTGAATGAAAAACGTTTTCTGTGTTTCTTAGTACACATTTCCATTTTGTTTATAACATAACTTGATAAAATGGGTGTTACAGAAATACATTTGGAGGGTGTGGATTGGATCAACTTGACTCAGGATGGGGACCGAATATTTTGGCTCATTAAAAGGCTGTATTTTCTTGTCTAACAGAGTACTAATGGCTCTTGAAGGACAATGCTCCATGTAGTTAGTTAAATGTATAACATAACTACAACATTTTCTGAAATTCCCCTGATTTATTCTGGTGTTAAAATTGGTTTCTTACTTCTTGATAAGATTATAGGGTGTTTGAAGACAACGTAATGAGGATATATGTATCTGTGAAAAAGGAAACAACAGTCCAGAGTGGAGAAAAATTCATAATGGGGAACTTCATACTTATGATGCAATTTAACATTTTAGAGCGATTAATTCAAGGAGTATGAGGTGGTTGAGACATAAACCGCACAAAATTGAATAGATTCAATTGACGTAAGGTAGGTGGATGATCTGAACACGACAATGAACCTTAAGAGTTACATAATATAAAGCAAGAATTTTTTTTCACCTTTTCAAGAAATATTCAACATCTCTAACAGCAGTCTTGTCATATTTTGTGGCTTCATAATAATTGCTGAACCCATCAAGTCCAAGCTGCATTGTTTAGTGATATAGTGTGTTTGTGTTACTGGGCAGACATCCCCCGTTCAATGTGGCGGCTCGTGTGCAACTCTGTGTATGTGGTTACGTGCCTTGGTGCCTGCATGGAACTTATCATTGTGTCTGGGTTTGTTGTGTTCCTGCCCAAATACCTGGAGACACAGTTCAGTCTGGGGAAGAGCCAGGCAAGTGTGTTCACAGGTAAGAAGCATCACCATTGCCAACATTTCTGTGTCTGATTCACTTTACTCTGATACTCATTTAGAGTCTCAAACCAAGATGTTGGTTACCCTGACTAAAATCTCAGTCTCCCCAGGAAAATGCTGTAATTGTACCTTTACTCTTTCCATCTGTCTTTCTTATGTCACAAACTACTTGACAAATTGTTTTGAAATTTCATAAGGAGTATTTGCATTAAAAGTAGTCAAGATAATTTTAATTTGCTTCATATGATCAGCCATAATTTAAACTCTTTGTGTTTGTGTCTTACTGTAAAGAGAATTTATAAAGCGATTGCATCAGCTGAACAGGTAGCCTTGAAAATATATTGGGGATAAGTACAGAAATATTATCAGGGATGACATTCAACATCTATGAAGTTAAATTAATGTTTTTGATTTTCTGTTTTCATTGATATCTTTATAATGTTTTAGAAGTATATACTGGTACTTAATTTTTAGTAATCCTATACTATGCATAGGGTGTTTCCTTTGTTTTCTAGGTTCAGTTGCAATACCTGGAGCATGTATTGGGATATTCATGGGTGGCTGCCTCTTGAAGCGGCTAGAACTTAGGCCTAAAGGAGCGGTACAATTTGTGCTCATCTCAAATACTATCTGCCTAGCGTGTTATGGCCTTCTTTTCTTCCTTGGTTGTGAAAATGTTAAGATGGCTGGCACCACTATTCCATACTTTAATAGGTTTGTCAGAATTATGTCAATAACTTACATATAATAAGATCCTTCAAGAAAAGTCTTTAAACCATTTGAACCAAATGCAAATGAAATAAAATCATGCAGAAAATTAATTACTTAAGATTGTTATGGTAATTAAATTAAGAAGTGGTAGATGAGTGAGTCATATACAATGCATACAACCTTTTTGATAGTCTTAAGGGAAAAGATTACATAGAAACCTAGATATAAAGATTTCTGTCTTCTGGGTCGTTGCGCTGTGTAGTCTGGTCGATGTTTACCAGCGTTTCAGAGGTCATACTGCCTCCGTCATCAGGGCGATTCATCGCCCTGATGACTACACGGCGCGACAACCCAGAAGACAGAAATCTTCATACTCACCGCTCCGAAAACTTCAAATCTTACAACCTAGATGAAGATAGGAAGGTAATTCCAATGGATATTAGCTTCTACGTCTGAACAAATTCAGGATAGTGTCTCATGTCAACATTTTTATGAACCTTTTGATTCCATAAAAGGAGAGAATTTGTATACCAGTATCACCTTTTTGAGGAAGACAGTGTGCATAAGTTAGTTAGCTAAAGACTTTAATGTTGTTTACAGTTCTAAACCAGAACCATTTCAAGTGAATCTGACAGCAGCATGCAATTTTGGTTGTGAGTGTCACATGACAGATGTGGAGCCAGTGTGTGGAAACAATGGGCTGACGTATTTCAGTCCTTGCCATGCTGGATGTACAGCCTTCTCTTCGAGATCTAATTATACCAACTGTGCCTGTATGTATTTTGACATTGTATTATTATTTATCCTTTTATGTATGTAGTATATTCACCTCTGCTTAGGCATGTAAACGTGAGGCCAGCAGCCAGCTAGTCGGCTTTGGCTCTCTGGAGCTGTTACGCCACAGATTTAATTTTAATTTAAGTATAGAACTATCAGCTCTTTACAGAAAGAAGACAGGTATAATGGTGCAGAGATACTTTGTATGGCTTTATACTAGGTTAGGGGCTCCTCTGACTCCAGATTTTCTATAGCATTCCTCGGCCTGTCAAGGTGAGTGATTATTTAATGAGCTTAATGTTGACTCAGTTGTCCAGATTTTATTGAATTTCACTACGTCAAATAAATCAATCTACAACTTAAATATTACAGATGTTTTAGTGACCGAGATGAACCGTTACTGATTGTTTGCGTAGGTATTCATGGCAACTTCAGCTTGCTTTCAAGTGGCAGTAGCGGTCCATCTGCCGCAGCAGCTACAGCAGAGTTTGCCGAAGTAACGGTGGTTCCGGTGGCTACGGCTGGTCCGTGTAACTCCCCGTGCAGAACCATTTTTCCATTCCTCATTTTGCTGTTCTTCATGACCTTCATTGTTGCTGTTACCCAGATGCCACTACTAATGATTGTGCTCAGGTTTCTGCCATATCTATGACTAATTTATTGACTATAAAGTTGAAGAATTGTAACAGAATGTAATTTCTGACTATGTTGTGTGATTTCTGTTGCATAATTACTTTCAGGACAATAATTTTTATCTGAAATAAGTGAACATTAATTTCAATAAAATGTGCTGTTTACAAAAAATCATCATCATCAATGTACACCCAAAGACCTATTCTGACCATATAGGAATATAACAGGAAATGCATTTGAAGAACATGTGTACTCTTATTCAGGCATCTTATAATTCCCATTCTGTTCCGTATATGTGTGTGCAGCTCAGTGTAGACTTATTAGTATAATATATATGATATCCAACTGCGAGACATGTCAAACCAAAAAGAATGGGAAATTGGTGGAAAATAGTTTTGAGCATTGTCCAAATATCCACATGAACATAAGATACTTCTTGTTTCCTATCTTACTTTCTCAGGTCAGTAGGAGAAGAAGAGCGATCCTTTGCATTGGGGATGCAATTTGTGATATTCCGTCTGTTTGGGTATATACCTGCACCAATCCTGTTTGGAAACTTGATTGATTCTACATGTCTTCTGTGGAAAAGCACATGTGGGGAGAAGGGAGGACGGTGTCTTCTTTATGACATTGAACAGTTCAGATACAAGTGAGTTATCTATAACTTCTTAAAAGACTGACATTTTGAGAGCCATCCTGGATCTCAGAATGTAGGTGTTTGTATGGCCACCTGATGTGGTTGATTGCCCATGAAGAATTTATTGAATTTAGCTGCTGAGATAACTATAGATGATATATTAAAAGCTTCTGTCTGTTAAATTGTGTTCATGTCACTGTTTCACATATTCTGTCATTGGTAGGGCTTAAATAGTAGCCTGGCCATGAATTATACATACACAGAAATCAGCGGCAAGTCCTGCTCTAGAATTCAGGTCTTGTGGAAATACAATGTTATGAATTTCACACCACAAAGCTAAGTAGTAATATTTAAAGCGACATGACTTAACTCTGCCCCCTTGGTACGGCGGTGATGGTGGTACTGGTGGTCACCTTGGAAGAATGCTTTACAGAGGAGACGACCAGACACCGTCCCCCTAGGTTCAGCGGTTTTGGTGGTCAGGTTCAAAGAATCCATTTAAAGCGACATGACTTAACTCTGCACCCTGACCACCAAAACCGCTGAACCTAGGGGGACGGTGTCTGGTCGTCTCCTCTGTAAAGCATTCTTCCAAGGTGACCGCCAGTACCACCATCACCGCCGTACCAAGGGTGCAGAGTTAAGTCATGTAGTAATATTTGTTGTTGTTTTTATGTCCCTAAAACTTTTTTCATTTTCTTTTTTAACTTAGTGGTCTGGCTATGCACTACTCTATACACCAGGGCATTTGCCACTGACTGAAATTATGAATAATCGCCTCGCAAGTTATAATCAGACACTAGCAGAGAAATTGTAAATAACAGACTGAACTCCTACAGGAATTATTGAAGAGTGTTGCACTGACAACTTTTGCTAAAAATTGAAGGAAACTATTAGATAATGATTTTTGTATACTTGTGTTTATATTCATATATAAATCAATGTGAAATGTATTTAACACAATTTTACAATTACCTTTATAGTTTGAGGAATGCAGTTAATTGTGTAGTCACTGTGTATCCAACAACTGCTTAGCAATGCCATTTATGCACTCAAGAAAACATACAGACTTTAACTGAAATTGAAATGTAACCTTTGAAAAATAAGTTATCGTTTAAGGCACAAAACAGTCAATATATCAATAATTTTGTTCAAGATCAATACAAAATTCATTATGAGGAAGTCTGAATATTTAATTTTTTGTACTGTGTAGGTATGTGGGGATCTGTGCTGGCATCAAGATCCTTGCATTGGCTTTGTTCCTTGTGGACTGGTGGTTGGTGCGACGGCGACGTCAGCTTGAAGAGCAGGCTGCCTTGTCAGTTGGGGACTTAGTAGGCTCTATTATTAGTCTTGACAAATGTAAGTTATATGCGAAAAAGACAACTTTTGACTCATGTCTAGCTGTATGGATATTCATCGGAAATGTTAGCATAATGTAGAGGAAATTACGTTACTACAGAGAGAGAAATCAATTTACGAAAAGTTTAGTGGTTCTCAGAAAGTTGGCAGAAATATGTATCACAACTTTTCAAGCTACTATGTAGAATTATTATAAACTTGATACAGTTTTTGTGCTGTTTAAAATTAAGGATGTCTTATCTGCCTGTCAGTCTGTTCAGCACATTTTATCTCCCAGACTACTTGATGGTCTTGGATAAAAAATGTTGTATGGGAAATTAGTATTTTAAGTCGTTAGGCCTGTTTCTGGTTCTGTTTTGTTAACCTTCTTTATCTGTGACATGAATTAATTTATTTTATTTTGTTAAATGAACAACCCATTTGAAAATCATTTTTACAGTGATTTATTTTTCCTTCAGTTATTTATATTTATCTTTCATCTTTATTTTATTTATTTAATGTCTCAGAAGGTATTAAATAGCATTGCAGTAGTGAAAAATGTTATTTTAACTTTTTTATTTTATTTTTCACCTGTAGCATTTAACGTTAGACAGTTTTCAGACCCATGATTAACTGTGATATTCCACACATTTTTGTTATATAAGAATGGATTCCTAATGTATGGTTTGTTTGTTGCACATCTACCAGAAATATTAAGAGTAACAAAAATAGTAATGATAATCAGGTGTGTAAAAACTGCTGTGAGTTTGGCCCACATGGGTATGGGTTATTCATGTTCATGAACTAACGCATGTCAAGGTGTTTGTAACTGTTCTACAATAATTTTCATAATTTATACCTTCTTGTATAACCAGTATCTCCCACAGTCAAGTTTGATCCCCATACTAAAATTAATTTTATTTTTATTATATTCAGTGTTTGAGGAGCGACCTTCAATTGTCCAGTCAGATAATCCAAAATCCATGTCAGTTGGTCCATCAAGCCCAGCCTCAGACCCGCCTACAACACCGTCCGAATCAACAGATGCCTCAGATCAGCATTCTGTGCAGTCTTCATTACAGCAGAGTTTGCAAATGAAGACATCTCATTCGATTGAATCACGGTCTAAGGTAATGTTTATACGGTCAAGAAATGAGCAACTGGAAGACAGTCTACACAGTGATAGTGTAAACACATAATGACAAAATATATAGTGTAAATAAATTAATAATTTTACGTTATAGATTGCACTCTGCACACAACCTCTTTATTTTGAACAACTCGGAAGCATTTAACATTAATTTCATTTAATTAATTTTATAATTGTATTTCCATCTTTAAATGCTCCCTGTATTTGTTACTTAATATGGGACATCTTATTACTTAATAGAATGTAGTAGGAGATGTACTAGTCATGACCCACATTTTAATGTGCTTAATAGTTTAAAAATAAGCCACTCACCTGCTACTTCCAGGCAGTTTGAAGGTGGATGAGGAATTTAGATGCATTACTCAAACATGTCTGTTTATTTCAGTTGTAGCAGACATGTAATGAACAGTATCCAAACTTTCATTTTGTTTGTTTGTTTGTTTGTCTTCTTCTTGTGTGTGTGAAAGTGGTGACTGGGTCTGCAGTAGTAGCACACTAATGGCGTAAGTAAATAATTTGGAGGAGGTAAAGATAGGAAAATAAAACTGAACAGGATAATGGTAGACTGGGCTGAATATAATACTGTGGAAGAGTGCTTTACAAAATGTGACCATGTTCATCTGTGATGGAATTAGTGAGATGTGCATGTAACCATATTCATTTCTTAATGATACGTGTCGAATCTTTAAGCTATGTTTGTGATATTCAGTTTTGTGAGAACTGTTACGATGGAGGATTTCAACATTTCATCTTTAATGTAGAATAATGCTGACAATCTCCTACAGAGTTAGACCAAGATACATATATTATACAGATATATTTTCTGAGACCCTTTTGAAATGGTATGGAGTTTTAAAGTGTGATGGACAGTACACTTCAAAATGCTACTTCCAAAACAATCTTGTAATAAATATTGCTTAATGAATTGACATTATATTTTCTGATTCTTGGATGCAGTGGTAATGTCAGCAGATTACCAAGTCCCACTGGTTGATTTCTATCCAATAAATGGTAAGTCCAGTTGATGGCTACTTTTTGGCCATTGGACAGTTTTTGTTTGATAGAATTTTTTACTATGAATAAAAAAAAGAAATACAGAGATTAATTTTTATAATGCTCATAACAGACCAATTAGGTTGAATATTGCGAAGGATAATGATGATATGGTCACTTTAATACTTCTTTCTTGGAAATATAAGGAATAATGCAAGTAAAGTTGCATGCATCCTTAATGTGTTTATTTAGGTGGAGGCAAGCGCTCAGCTTCACTGTCTCCCCAGGTTAATTTAATTATAGAACTCTCATATATGCTGTGATCACAACCTTCCTTGTTTGTACCTGCTGACCATTCAAGAATATCTTCTCATCTCGTTCAACACTGTATAAACTCTGAAATATTTGTTTTCCAAGCTACGATTTGAATCATAGTGTGTTCTTTCTGTGCCATCCTGTTCATAATTACAAAGAGACAGAGTTTGGGACCTGCTGCCATAATAGTTCTTGGAATGTGCACCTCTGCATCCTTGCAACTGTTATTGCTGTTCTTGATATTGCACAACTTTAAGATGTACTTGATTATTAAAGTGAGTAATGTATCTTGGTATTTCTGGGTTTCTGAATCTTGTCCATCATCTAGTATTGCAAACAGAACGCAACATTTCAGAGACTGGGACTACTTCTATTCTCAGGTGGAAAGTTGAAGTGGGCTTGTTAAAGTTAATGTCACTTACTAGAATAATAGACCCAGTTTAATCAGTACTCTCTGAAATATTATCTTCAGAATACTAAATGATGGACAAGTCAAAAAACCTAGTAGTACTCTTTGCAGTATACCAACATCAGAACACTTCAGAATTAATAATGAGTCTCATGACTATTCTGACTGGTGATACTTGCGTCAGTTTTTTATAATCTCTCCAGGAGATTCTGAATTGGTACATCAAAATAGGATACAGCCACTACTTTCATTATCTTATTAATAAAATATCAAGATTTATAAAAATTCACCACTTTCAAAATGAACGTGTGAATGCGCTAATATTTATAATACTTTTTGAAATCTCTTACTCAAGCATTGGATATAATTGTTGTAGGAAGATTTACATCATGGATGCATTCCCAGAATATAAGCACAGATATGTAAAGCACTCGGTTACTCGATTCTTAGCTACACTTACTGCTCAAAATGACATTGTGCTGAATGGGAATTTTGTAACATAATTTATTCCCCTGTTAGTTATCAATATCACAGTTAAGCAATGCAAGTTAAAAAGTGTAAATAATATATTACCTGAAGTTAATTTTTGTTTCAGGCTTTTATAGGTTATGTGAATATAAAACTTCTTGATGCTCTACTTTAAAAGTATATTTTAGGGCTACAAAAATTGCTTGTAACATATATATAATAGGTAATATTGAGGGTGGTTTTCTGAGTGACATGCCTATTAACATAATCAAGATTTCTGCCTTTAACAATAGATGTGGGTCATTGTACAGTTGGTCTTCATCTGTCTTCTGCTGCCAGAAATATGTTAATTATGAGTTTCCACTAAACTGTAGTTTTCCCAAATGCTACTGAACAGCTTATTGTTCATTACTACATATATCAAAACATGTGCATAAAATTTCCAGATAATTGATATCTCATCAGAATTTCTTTATTGATATTTAATCTTTAACCTCCTTTCAGAGTAAAAACTTTCATGTAAATTGTTATTTTATTATTGTAACTTGTGGACGTTTTCACGTTTCCTTCCTTTGCCCTAGTAACATCTTTAACTGTGTCATTCTCCGATAGATCTTGTGGTATATGGGAGGAGAATTCCTTCCATGTGTTGGCTCCAGTTCCCAAGACATTGGGATAATGCAAAGTAACTGTTTATTTGTGAAATAATACTTAAAGTGTGGGTTTAGAGTATGTTTAAATTGGAGTGGGAGAGAGTTTACTTAAGACCATGAAAACTAATTGATAATGTACAAGATATGTAAAAATCCTTTTTACTGTATAGTCTACATACTAAATCTTTTTAATGAACTTTTAACTAAGACCCCTGGCACAATCTGAAATGATGCATACATCCAAGTTGCTTCCAATTTAAGCTAACTTTAAATCACTAAACATGTAGAAAAGAGGAAAGACTTGTAACTAAACGTAGATATAAAATAACGTAGTATATTTCACATTCAGTCTAGAATGCTTTTACTGTACATTCAAGTGTAGAAAAGGAATGAGGATATATATATATATAGATATATGGTCATGCGTATGAGTGTGTGTATGTGTAAAAATGTGTGGATTTTTTATGACTCAAATATTGTGAATATTTTCATTGGAAGAAAATGAAAGATATTTTAAATATGTTCATTGTTGATCTCAAAACTCAGATTGTCAATTCAATACTAAAAATATACTAAAAAGCTGTGACATGCTGTGACAAACGATTAATGAATTTATGATGGATTTTTTTTTTTATAAATGAAAATTTGATGATGATAAACATCAATGTTAGACTTTAATGGTAAAGTTGATGTATTTCTTAAAGTTATTGTATATTTGAACCTTTGTTTCTCATTTAAACAGTTATAATATTGGGATCTATCTTACAGTGTTTTAAAGAAGTAATTCTTTTATGTTAATTTGGTTTTGACATATTTATGGAATAATTATAATTGTTTTATTTGCATTGTCATAAATATTGTACAGATTTCTTCCAATTTTGGGCTGTGGTCTCCAGAAACCAAGTTTTATTGCTGGAGAGTGGCCATTATTGAAGAATATCCAAATTACATATTTGTTAGAATGTGGAACAGTATCTTGACTGCAGGAAATCTACGTTTAGTTTTCAGTTTTATGTTTGATTAGTGGAGTTAGGCGTTGAAATTTTCTGTTATGATATATATTTAAAAAATGCTTGCAGATTATGTGTAAAACTTTTTCATAGGTTAAAAAGCATACATAGAGATTATGAGAATTTAAAGTTACATTTGATAAATTATGCATGGAAATAGTTAAATAAATTGAATGATTATAATAAATGCAATGATTGTTAATTTATAAATAATGATAGTTCATCATATAAATTGGAGTATTAGAACATCAGTAGGTGTCACAAGTTCTCTGCAGAATATCTTTGTTTTAATTTGGAATGAAGATTCTTCTCCATAATTGCAAAATCTGTGAGGTGGCAATCCTGCTTCTGGTCTGTTAATTTGTATGTATAATATTGATCTGAGTCAAATCCACAACCAGAAGTAGCCCTCGTAACTTAGAATACCTCAGGTAGAATCTTGTAATGACCATGTAAATCATTCCTAATTACTTTGTAAGTACATTTAAAACTCTGCTTATTTCTACACAGATAACACCCTTGTATTTAATGCACCTCAAGAATTTTACTCTCCCAGATGGACAGAACACTTAAACACTTTGTTTCAAATAGAAGACTGTTGAATTTTACCACCATCATTACTACAAAAATAATGTTATTATTTGAGCTGTAAATAGCACAAAATACTATACACTCACAGAAAGTATTTATATATCACATTAAAATGCGCAATGAATAGATAGTTTTATTATAAATAAGATATGTAATTATTATATTTGTTGGGAAGTTGATGTTTCTGAACTGATTGGTAGGGGGAAATTTATTATTAAAATTTTTATAAATATATAAAATTTGAAAGAAGCTGATTGAAGCATAAAATTTTGTTTGTAGATATCTTTTATAACAAAATATTCTTTCCTTGTATTTTCGGAAAGCACTTATCTGGGTTTAGTTAACCCCCTCAAAAATGTAAACTTATTTTGGATTAACGTATCGTTACTTTCACGACTGTGTTAATTTGACTTTATTTAAAGAAATAAAGTAGAGTAACTGCTAACAATTGAAATGCAAATAATTGAGAAGCAATATAATATTTTTTACAGGAATGAATATCAACTACACAATGAGACAATGTGGGTAAAATATGTAAGGACCACTTGAATATTTAACTGCAGTCTTAAACAAAACTGTTGATGTTCTATGTCCTTTTTTTATTTCTGGGAACCATAATTTCATAAAATGACATCTCACTGTAATTAACTTGTTGATTTAAAGGTAGGTGATTATTTGTCTGAAGATGCCTTGGTTGCTGCAAAAATATGTATGAATAGTTATTTTACAATGTTATTGTTTTCTTTCTTCCAAATTGTTGCAGAGTTTGTAGATACAAGAAGCTGTGTGAAGGAAATGACTACCACATTCTGTGTAATCATCATTTGTAACAGGAAAATCTGAAGATGGAATGATAGAGCTACTTTATTTTCTTAAGTAGCATTATATTGCCTGTGTCAGATTTACTGTGATGTTTGATTTAAGTTTACATCATGAAAAACGTGCACTAATATCTCATTTTATGATACTCGCTCAACAAAATTTAAAGTTCATGCAAATGACAAGTAGTACTCATTCTTTGGTACATAAAATTAATAGTTGATACAGTGAAAACATTCAGATCTCTTCATTTGTCTCTGTTTCTGCCCATCGTCTTCTGAACCCATGCTGAAGCAATCGTGTGTTTGTGTTGATTTCTCTCAAAATATATATTCTGCATTATTTTACATAATTTGTGTTCCCTTTTCCCTTTACACTTTGTTTTAATGGAAACGTGTTTGTGTTGATTTCTCTCAAAATATCTATTCTGAATTATTTTACATAATTTGTGTTCCTTTTTCCCTTTACACTTTACATTTGTTTTAATGGAAAATTTATTTCAAATAAAGTTACTGTAGCTCTAATTGTTACCTTTCAGTTAAGAGGAATAAATGTTTAATGGATTTTCAATTAATAAATGTCTTTTAGAAATCTGTCAGTTTTCTAAAGTGAGGTGGTGTAGATAATGTAATGTACCTTTGTCAGATTTAATTTCAGGTGGTATATTAAAAGATGAATTTAGTTCTTTCAGCACAGATTTATATTTATCTTATAAATCATGAATGAAGGGAAACACTTCACTGTGAATAAGAGTGCACATTTTTATATTTTCTTTCTTGAATTTCAGTTCTCAGATGGACGATTTTCTTATATTTAGGTAAATAAGCTACAAATCCTGTTTAGAAATTATCCTTGAGCAAGCCACTACAATCTGACATTAAATATTTGTACTTAAGTACACAGATATTAATTTATAGTATAAAGAACACTATGACATAAATACTTTTGTTTATTTATTATCCATATTTACTACTGTACCTTTATTTATGCTTTGTAATCAAGTGATGAATATGGATGGCACAAAATGAACTGAACGTTGTACACTGCATAGAATATTCTAAAACGAACAAAATGTGTGATCATTTGGCATTAATTTAGAAATGTGCTCCACAAATTGCATGATTTTTTCAGAGTAACAACCTTGTGCCTGAATTTGCTTACAGCAAAATACAATTTCCATCTCAGAATTTATACATCAGTTGATTTGTGCACAGATATAAAATATTTGCTTATGTAGTGCAGAAACAGAATTTCATGCAACTTTAAATATATGCAAAAGTTAGAAGAGATAATATAAAGCTTTAATGGCTGTGTACAGAAAGAGTAAAATATGTTAAATATTTTGTCCCAATACAATACAAAGGTGAGATGCTCTTGTATACAGTTTATGTAATGAAGTAATTAAATTAGCACATTCAGTATTTGCCTTATTGAAATTTCATCTGCCATAATTATAATTGAAACATAAGTATAGTACTGTTTTAATGCATAGTAGCATATCATAATTAGTTTGAATTGTACTGGATATGTATTGTATGATAGAAAAACTACTTTGAAGATTACTAGTTTCAGTTAGTTGAGACTACAAAAATACAAACAAAGAGACTCAATAAAAGAACGAATTATGGTAACACAGTGAATGTAATTCTTAATAAACTGTTTGAGTGCCTCTAAAACCACACATTCACTGGCTTCAAATATTATTTCCTTCTATCCTAATTACAGAGTTTGAGTTTGTTCTACATAGTTGTTTGTCCAGTGTAGTCCCTGGTTATTATAGGGTCATACAATATTTTGCAGTCACCTTTGACTTCTTTTAACTAAAGGCAGTCAGAGAAAGAGCTCATTCTCCTAATGGGTTGTTGTTCCTTACTGAAGTTCTTACCATCCTTTTCATGTGTCATAATATTTTGAAAATAAATGCTGTATATCTGCTGTGAAACTGAATACCAGACAGTTTGAACAGAAAAGTCATTAAAAAAATCTCTGACCATCAGCCGTGTCAAATAGTTGAAACATGCCGACATTTCTAGGTCCATCTCTTTCTCACCGTCGGGGCTATTCATCCGCAAGTTGTAACCATTATTAATGACATTTCCGGCCTACAAGGGAATACTGTCATTTATAGGCTGCCTGGTACAAACGGTTATTAAAGGTAATGAGGCTGAAGGCTTTTAGAAATAAATGTGTCTTAATATTATAGGCCATACACACAGTTTTGAGGGAGAAGCTAATATTGTGTAAGAATGTGAAATCTAATCCTCCAGCCAATCAGACAACGACATGGTTAATATTGTATGTGACGTCATTTCCTCCAGTCACCTAACCCGTTCGTCGTCCATCTTGGCTCAGTTACCAGTTGGTCTTGTTAGGCGGTGGTAGTGTGTTTTTCTGTGGTAGTACGGATTACGGCTCTACCCGTTCAATCCGTATTCAATGTGTATGGCTCTTGTGGTAAGTGGATCATGGTTTTAATTGTACCCAAATATTAAAATTATAACGCTATAAGTGACCTACATACTATTTAAAATAAATGTGGAATCTAAAGGGAGTGGAAGCCAGTTTATGCATTGCATGCTGTAGTTTATAAAGACCCGAAATAACTGCAGCAAAATACCAAAGAAAATCGAATTTACTCATGTACTTATATTGTGTAATTAGATATATGTTGTACTGACCTTTTTATGTAAGCTGTTGGTTGTAGCCTTTCTTTTTTCTTGCTATCCAAAATGTCAGCCACCCAGTCTCTCGAATCAATTCCGTCGGTGGATTTTAGTGTTTGCATTTGGTTTTGACGGTTTGTTTGGAAAAACGGTAGAGTAACAATTTCACCGTTTGTTAGAATAAGTAGGAGTTGGGCTTCCAAACATCGGTGTAGTAACATTGAATTTCTGGAGTTAGAATACACTTGGTTTATCCCAGGATGCAAACTTTGAACGTATTCTAGGAAGTTGTTAACGTTCGGATACTTATAAATTAGATACGGTTTTATAAATATAGATAACAGGCTAGTAAACGAATTGGTTTCTGTGCTTAATTGAGTGGGATTTAAAATAAAACTGGTAATTAGATTCTGGATTACAGAGTTTTTGGACTTCATCCATCGTCTGGTATTCTAAAAAGACTAGCAATTCTAAAACTGGATGTTTTCGCCCTCAGGTGTAAGCATCCACCCAGCTGGGTCCGTTTGAAAGAGTTGACCTCAATTACTGAACTGTTTAAGTTAGTTCTTTCAAACGGACCCAACTGAATAGGTGCCCCTATTCCCTGCACACGATTACGAAAACCGACCCAGATTTCGAAACGTTTGTAGCAAATGAGGTTCTGACGGCAGTGAGTACGAAGAGGATGTCTTCTGGGTAGTTTACCGACGTTTCAGTGGTATTCATCACCCGAATGATGGCGGCAGCAAGGACCACTGAGACGTCGTCAAACTTCTGCCAGACCACACGGCACTACAACCCAGAAGACGGCCATCTTCGCACAATTTTATTCTCAGTCTGGGCCACATGCCCCGCCCTTCGTATCTTCATTTCAGTAGACAACTCATCATTTAATCTGACCATGGAAATCGGCATAGTAGGCTTGTCCTGTTTCTGTTATGGGCCTGCTAGATTTGGCTTCACCTTATATGAATAATCCACCAAAGTATTGTACGTAGTCCCTTTTATTTTCGACAATCGGTCGCTGAGTCACTATTTACGTTAATTCCTTAGGTTCACGTGATTTGACTCACCAGTACAAATGCATGGACACGTCATTTTTGAATCTTCGCTTTGGACTTTGGTTTAAAAGGCATTTACTGCTCGCAAACGGTTATGAACCAAACCCTCGGGGGCGGCGGTGGTGGTGGTCAGTGGCCCATTATTTGCTATACTGCCACATACATAAATAGTGTAGACATTGTACCGTGATATTGACAGAAGTAATCTAATTGTGACTAAAGTACACCAAACTTCGCGGCCGAGTGGTCCTGGTACAGATCGTTTGCCCGGATACCGACAATCCTGATTGTATCTGGGATGTTGCGCCCTCGACGAGTTTATATATGTCTCTATTTTTCTCTTATAAAAGGCTCGCATACAAGAAATCGTGCCATAACATATTTAAGATTTAGAGTTTTGCGTTAAAACATTTGCCAGGGGTAGGCTATATTTTTATGCGGCCCGTCACGTGATTTGGGTAGTAGCCAATGCGAGAAGAACACATTTTCCGCTACCACGAAACATTAACATAAATATTTGAAACAAGGGCAAACAATCCCATGCGAATTGAATGAATCTTTTATTAGGTGTGGGCGTATAGTGTTAAAATCGTGTTGTTGCTTAGAGACAGTGTTCCGTTGTTCAGACCATATGAAATTTGGCAAAATTTGAAAATTACTTTGGTGCCAATAACTGAAGTCTTTGTCAGATTAACATTGTCGAGAAACCAGAACTGTCTGCAGTAAATTTAGTTGTGGTGAAATACATATTTTATCACTTTTGAAGATAAGAAAGTTAGGTTTCGCGTATTGTCTACGATGCGATTATATTTCGGTCCTTGACATTTGGGTAGCCAGTGCGGCCCGCGGCAGCGATAAGCTTGCCGACCGACGGGTTTGCGACTGTGTACACGGGATTGGAATGAAGGCCCTCAATAATTCTTTGCCTGTGATTTCAACGAATATTGAGAATTGGGACTCACTTTAATTTTTGTACGTTTTTGGATGAACTTGCACTATAGTGGAGAATGAACGAACGTCGTGTGGAGGTCACTCAACTGCATACCGCACATCTCCATGGCAACAGAGGCTGCAGACTTGCACCCTTCATGTCTTGTAGGATGTTTCATGCACACTTTTGCAGTGATAGGCACACACGTGCATAACATAAAATTGACACACGAGACGGATTGATAAGAGAATTAATGCTGAGCTTACGCAGATTAATTATAGGTATAGTACAGGGTGCCGCTCAGAATTGTACCAATTACAAAATGATTTCTTTCGTAAAGTAACAGCGAGACACTAACGCATGCGCACTTGGTGGTGTGACATGTTAAGCCGATACTACAGCTGTTATCAAGTGTTTTTGGTATCTCCAGTACGATGCACTCGCAAGTAGCGATTATTTGTAGACGCAGGTCAACTTCATCCATTACTTGCTTTTAGTAGGCAGTGTCCTTTGTGTACCTCCCAAAAAAAAATATTGATGTTCATAATATCCATCTTTATTATTATGCCATTTACGTTTTTTGGAATAAATATACATGTCGGTTAATCCAAAATTTATTAACTATGTGT